AAGACATCACAGCCATACCTGTATGCTATGTTATAAACATCTAATACAAGCTATCAGGTACGAATATTAAGAAAGTTTTATTGCGAATTTGATCATAGCGTGACACGACTCTAAAGAATGACAAGTCTAGGCCTCTTGGATGTCAATCATATTCACATGTAAACAAATGGTGGAACTCTGAAAACTGTACTTTCTAATAGTCAAAGAATTACAACATTCCAGACTAGATGTTAAAAGAGTAAGTTTTTCAAAGTTTATACCTCTAACCTTGAAACAAAACTAGTGCTTCAAATAAGACCATAATGAAGTCACGCTTTCTAAACATAACAGCAAGATGTAAAGTAACTCAAGGGCAAGGAGTGTTAGCATTTCGTGTACCTAGTAAAAAAGAAGAAGCAAAGTTGTCATAGTTTATGCAGACATTTTGGGAGACAACTCCCCATTTTGATGTAATGTGCAAGTTTAAGGGGGCCAAAGAACATCAATAGTCTAACAAAAAATGATAATCTTTTCTCTTAATGCACACACAGCTTCAAATGTAACGCCCAGTGTAACTTCCATTTGTGGAAAGTGCTAAATATGGTAAGCACAACCTGAAACCTACAACTAAGTTCAAGTATGCATCGTCAGGACTATGAATTAAAATTCACTCAAAGATCCAACTTTCATCCATAGAAAAAAGGAATCCTACAAGGTAGTGCTAGAATATTACTGGCAGAGGTATTGTGAAATTCGTCTTCAACATGAACAAGATTGTTCTCCATTGTGGTCAGGAAGACTCAGGCAATTGGGAGCCCCGGCCACATATTAGCAAGACTTAAGAAAATAGATGGCACAAGAGTTATGGACTTCAACCCCACTTAACACAAAATAATCCACAGGAAAAGCAAAAGAACTCTTAGGAAGACAAACCTCTTAGGACAGTGAAAACTGCAAAATGAAGAGTTGACTAATCACTATTAAAATAAATAGTTTCTACTTCTCATCCAACACATAAGTGAGTGTCGATAACTGATCAATTGTGCTAGACCATTGAGATTTTATTGTGCTTTTATGACTACCAGTTTCTATCCAAACATCTGCTCAACCTGAACACGACAAAAAAACATGAGAGTACTAATTTTGGCACCACAAGTAAACTAACCTCACTTCGTACCGTCAATTTGTTGAAGAGATCCAGCAAAATTGTGAGAGAACTTTAGGTGAAGTTAAATTTCATCCAAAGATTAAGAAGCTTTTGTTATATCTCATAGACCTAATGAAGAGACAGATGGGCTCTAAGAATGTAATAGAGGGGTTGAAGAGAAGAGTCAATGGGAGTTTTCCAAAACAGGAATCAGAAAAGAGGAGGCAGGGCAAGAACCTTTCGTTTGTTTGGGTGGGTTTCTTTTCTTTTACTAAGTGGTACTTCCTTCTCTCTAAATGCCCCAATTTCTCTCTCTCTCTCTCTCTCTCTCTCTCTCTCTCTCTCTCTCTCTCTCTCTAGAGAGAGATGGAAAGTAGCTATTTCCAAGGCCCTAAGTTTTCTCCCTTAATTTAATTCATCATAAGGGATATCTTATGTGTAAATAGTTTTTTTTTTCTGGTGGCTTCAAAGCCATAAACAAAGTGATAAATACTCACCTCTCAACAGAAATCCCTGCATGGAGCCAATGGATGGCAATGCCATCCAAAGCAAGATTTCCTCCTAAGTCTCCAACTTTCCACATGCCCAACACATACAGCTGAGAAATGTTTGAACTCCCTTAGCCTCCTAGACTAAACCAAAGCTGATAAAAAAAGCCATGGATTCCACATGGATTCATTATCTATTATGTCAACAATTAAAGTAAGCCCATATTGTATAGTGCTCATATTGCAGCTCCACTCTCATCAATGCTTAACACAATGAGCAAACTCATAATGCTTACAGGTTCATGACAGGAGAAATAACCTCATGCCCTCACTACTTATAATCCCCACAAGAGCAAATTGCACTCCTAAAGCGATGAAAGCAGCTAGAATCTCTCACAACCATCTCACAATCAACAATCTTTGCAATAAGTTTAATTGCAAAATGACATTCCCCACAAATGCAAAGATTCTTCATTACAGTTATTGTACTACCCTTGATAGTAATAATGACCCTTCCTTCTGTTCGTCTTCCATGTCATGGAGAGAGAACCTCTTATCTGGAACGTTACCCGATTCCTTCAACTTCAGTTTCAACCAATCCGGCTTCCCATATATGTTCTCACTCAAACGGTGGGATTTATCCCTGGAAAGAAATAAATGCTTTTGCCCCTTTATACTAAACCAACTGCTACCTAGTTGCTTCACAATCCATTTATCCCTCATAGTCACTCTTAATCTCGAGACATCACCCCACCTATTAGCAGAAGCATAGAAGTTGGACAGTAAAACATAAACAACACTACAATGTGGTTTTGGGTCAAGAATATAGTTTGCAGCTCTTTCTGCCAAATCTAGGTTAGAATGCATCCTGCAAGAACTAAGCCAAGCAAGCCACACTATGGAGTTAGTTTTAAGGGGCATCTTCTTACAATATCCTCTGCTTCCTCTAGCTTCCCACATCATCCTAGCATATCCACCTTGCATGCATAATGCTCATGCTTCAATTCACTGGAAGTGTTCTCACTAAAGTATCTGAGCAAGCACCTCCCCTTTTGTAACATCCCAGAATGACTACAGGAAGAAAGTAGTCCCCTGAGTGTGATCTCATCTGGTTGTACCAGTCTGCGAATCATTTGGCTAAACAACTCCATAGCCCACATTCCTCAGGCATGTTGTGTAAACCCGCAAACAACGGCATTCCAGGTGACAATGTTCTTCTCCCCGAGTCTTTTGAACACTACAACAGCATCATCAACGCCTCCATACTTATTATACATGACTACAAGAGAATTGCCAACAAAAACATCACTTCGCAATTTTGGCTTTACTGCTGACGCATGGACCTCCTTACCTCGATCTAGAGATTCTATAACTACAGCAAGAGTTTAAAGAACTTAGAGAAGAAGATTGATTAGGAAGAACACTTGTTCTCATCATGTCACTGAACACCTTCAGGCCATCTTCATGCCTACCATTCGAGCCATAACCAGTTAGAAGAGCCGTGCATACGACCACATTCCTATAAACTGCTTCATTGAAGACTTGGGTTGCTTTCTCAATGCGCTTGCAGTTAGCATAGAACGTGATGAGAGAAGCACATACAAATCGACTAAGGCAGAATCCTGACTTGAAAACATGACCATGAATCTGCACACCAAGAGGAAACAACGATGCACTTGCACAGGCACTCAATGCACATGTCAAGTTACTCGAATTGGGAACAACACCAGACTTGAACATTCTCTCAAAAAGAAATAAAGCCTCTCCACTCTTACCATTTTGGTCAAGCCCGCCAGTCCTTGGAGTCCATGGAATCACATTTCGAGAAGGCATTTGCTCAAACAATTTCACAGCATCATCAACCCTCGCATTCTCACAATACCCATGAAGCATCGCAATCCTTGCAGCGAGATCCCTTATGGGCATCTGTTTGAAAAATCTCTCTACCTGCTCAACTTGTCCAAATCGAAAGAACCCATCTATCATTGTCGTCCACGAAACAACACTTGGTTCGGGCATTTCATCAAAAAGCTCTTCCGCCACCATCAAGTCCCCGTAGTCTAAGTAGCCTTTGATCATTGTGTTCCAGCAAATTGCATCTCTCACAGGCATTTCGTAGAACAGTTTCAGGGCATCGTCAAGGCTGCCAGTTCGCTGGCAACCCATGATCATCTTTGTGAACGAACGAACATCTAGGTATTGAAACATGTCAAGAACCGCCCGAGTTTCATCTGGCTTTTCGTTCTTAAGGTGTCCAAAGACCGCGGGACTGTCACTAGTTGCATGACTCGCACGTTTAAAGAAGCGCTTGGAGAGTTGGGTGTAGGTTTCGCATCTGAGATTTGGGACATTATCTCGTGAGCTTTTACAATTACTGGATGATCAAGGCTGATATAACGTAGGCACTTGTTTCAGTAAATTGGGAAATTTTGCTTGCTTGCTTGTATTATTTCACTAAAATTTCAATAAATTGTAGTGTGGATTAAACCTTGTATCACTACTCCTTGTTTCTCTCTTAGTTTGAATGGTGGCTTGGGGGGCTGTCACTACTTCCCGAATGGTCGGGAGACGGATTTAGAGGTAACGTCGAGTTAAGAGACCAACGGCTCTCAATCATCACGAGTTCTCTCAAACCTTTACATTGCGCGATGTCGGGAAATTCATTTCAACTAATTAAACCTACGAAAATCCTATACGAGAGAGTCGCCAATAGCTTATTGTGGTCAATTAGAAACCTTTCGGTACCTAGGTCAGGGACTTGATTAATCTTCAATGTACTACATTTATTCCAAAGCTTCTCCATATTGAATTTGAATTCTAATAAAATACAATTGTTTTTGGTTGAATATGAGGATCGATACTGTGCTAAGTTGCTTCAATTGAGTGGTTCTAAATGGGGAAATTTGTCTGTCAAGGTTTAGGATCTTTCTCTTACCCTTGGTAGACTAAGTGACAAACGATGTAGGTCCTTGATCAGGAAGATTCCAAATGGAACGACGGCATGGACTGTAAAACACTTCATTTATGCAGGTAGACCCCAATTGATCAAGTTTGTCGTTATTTACAGCTTGATAAACTATAATTGTCAACATTGTTATGCCAAGAAAGTTGATATGAAATGCTCAGCATTTGTGTAAAGGAAGGTCAGAAAATACTCATGGGGCCAAGGTTGATTGGAAGAGGTTTGTTTGCCTAGGATTGGAGCCTCGTTTCTTCGTATGTGATGTATACAATAAAGAGGATATGGTATTAGCGGCGCATAGCACAGCCCGGCACCCTTGGGCCTGTGTCTGGGCACTGGCCCATTAGGTCGCGGACCGTTAGGGATCACACATGATATAGACCAGAATTATGAAGCTCAAATACATCGAGAGCACGCCTAGAATTACCTCAAACTTCGAAAGCTCATAAAAAAATCAAGCTAGATTATAGAATATTTTGATAACAAAAATTAGCATCAAAAAGGTGATGCCTACACAGGGTTATGCCATAAATTATCTTACAATCTGATAATCAAGTTAAAAGCGTGAAATGTACTTGTGATCACAGCTGCAATCCTCAGTAAACACATGAACATCAAGGCAAAAACTGATCCGGACATGCATCACGCTTCCTTTCTTAGGTCCCTTGATGAAATTCTGTGATCGAAAAAGCAGTAAACGAAAATGCATTGTTGGTCAAAGTACACTGAATCATTTGCAGATACTTTATCGTCAATAACGTTCACACGAATCTCTACACTTAAAGGGCTATTTGAACAACACCATGATTATGCAACTTTTTATGATTTTGAGACAATGATCAACCATTAACTGTTTCTGACATCACAAAACAAACAGCATAGAATCTTATTATGCTAGAGTCTGCACCAACGATGTCACATCCATATTTGCACTTTACATGTAGTATACAAAGGATCACAAAACTATTAGTTCGTAAATTATTTTGCGATGAGTTCACCTCAAGAATGGGAACTACCGTGAACTGCAAGTTTGACTTTAGGTATAGTCAAACTAAGAGATTAACAGACAAGAATAAGAATAATGACCATTATGATTTGAATAAACCAAGAATCAGGAATGAAGAGCAAGGATGTTGTCTAACTTCATTTTGAAGACCTTTATATTGCCTCGTGATTAAATATTACCATACAAGAGAATTTATAGCTGTAGGTATACTCAATCGTCGCATGAGCATCATATCATACTGCCACAGCAATAGACATTGCCACAGCGCCCTAATCCGTGCCATTCCATTGTTAACAGCTATACTACAGAAAGGTCACGGCATGCAGCCCATTTGTTATATGCACAAGTAACTGATCATCGTTCAATATGCAGCAGAGGTGCTTCAAAATACTATACACGATGTACATTATGTTCAGAAAAGCAAGGAATCATAAGTTCAAAGGTCTTACCTAGTTGTGCAAAGGCATAAGAAGATTCAACAGGAAGAATCAATGCACGTAGATCTAATGAGAAGCCTGAGTAACCCGTGAACTGTGAGGCTTTGGAGCTGAAAATCAAAGATTAGGATTCAGCATACATATATATAAACAAATCATAGATTCCACAATGTCAAAAACAGAGAATGAATTGAAAAGGAGGGGAAAAAGGAGAAGAGAAATGATACTTCATGTAACAAGGTTCAACAAAACAAAGAAGAAACATGAACCAAATTGATTTTATCATTGCAAAAGTCAATTATTAAAGGCCATCTTTTCTGTATGTAATGAGTTTCCAAAGCGTACTAATTATCTCGGAGGCATGAAAAGGTTCTGGTCCGATCAGTCTCTTGAAATATTTGCAACTGAAGAGCACAAACTGGACAATTGCTCGACCAAGAACCATATATAATTGGTAATTCATGATAGGGATCAAGGAAGAAGATATTTCTGTCTAACGAGTCTAACCAATGGATTATCAACTATTAAGAAACTGCACTTCGTCTTTTTCCTTAACCAAGGACATGACAACCCATTTTTCAAATGCTATCTGGCTAGGTATATTGAGTCTAGAGGAAGCAACATATGAAATGTTCTTTCTCTAGCTAGTTGAGAGAATTGATTGAAAAGTAGAAAAAAAAAGAGGCTTCCTGAATTCTTCTTAATCAATATGGAAGGGGATCAGTGCTAGGAAGACCGTCGTATTAGGCTCTAAAAGATAAATTTTTCCGGAAGGGTCTTTTAGGGAGACATTGCTAGCAAGCACAATCTCAACTTCATTGATTGATAAAGAAAACTTTGGTTCAAAGGTAGAATTTCCCTATTATGCTCATAAAAGCCTCTTAGAAAGTATTTAACCATCGGTCCATTGAAAATGAACTACCATTTCCCTTAGGTTATCTAATGTAAATAGGTGCAAACTGCATTATAATAACATTCTTTCGAACAGACAATTCAACTGATTAAAATGGTTGACTGCCATTTATGGGTTTCCTCATTCATAAAAAATCTCCCAGAACAGAAATGGCTTCTGATGCCATTATACCTCCACAGCATTTGAAACCCTTTGATCCAGAATTCCCAATACTGCAAGAATAACAAGAAAAAAGTTAAAAACATTAATAAATCAGGCAGATGCATCCCAGAATGCTTTTGACTCATAATCAGATTATGAATCGAAACATAACTGTAAATTTCAAGCTCTAAAAGTATTGAGTTTTCATGGTTTTTTTTTTTCCCTGAACTTTTTGCGTAGATGCATCCTTGGTACATCTCTTGCTTCTTCCCCCAGTACTTGAGCTTGTTCTCTCAAAACTAACAATTTGAACAGAAAAACAATGTCCGTAATCTAGATTAGCAACTTCATGTACTGCTCAAATCACAATGAAACATATCCTGTTTGACTACGTTTTAACTTTTATTTCAACAAAGTCGGAGCAAAAAATTGATTAGTTCTGAACAAGCTTAGGAAACATGAAATGTTAGCTCATAACAACGTCATACAGTTGAAATATCATACTGGAAGCACAAGCCATACACCACAGTTTAGCAGGCACATGCTCTCATGTATGCAAGAAGAGACAATAGCAACTATTAAACAAGAAAAGAGATTTCTTTATCAAGTACATTGCCCATGGCATATCAGAAAGCATAAATTTTTCCTCAGTTAAAATATCATACTTCTTTGAAGATACTATATATCTCGATTTAAACGTGATAACATTAAAGACATCAAAGAACCTCACCGCAGTGAAAAAGGTCAGGAAGAAGAGATGAAGAAACAGGGGAGAGGGAAAAGGAAAAAAGAAACTAATGTTAGCTTAACTTGTGGCACTTCCCAGAACTGTAAACTTTTTAGGGCAAACAAAGAATACAGAAATGTCTAACAAGTCACCAAGAATTTAAGAAAAAGGAAACAAAGTAGGATAAGAAAGAATAAATATAAACTTGACTTCTTAATGCTTCCAGAAACACCATTTTCTTCCATTTAGACTGAGGAAAGGACATAAAAGATGGAAAATTAGTTCCATAAACCTCCATTTATTTTCGCGGTTATGTGTTGCAATATCCGACGTGGCAACAATATACAGAATCACTATGAAGCCACATCCATCAGTCATCAACATAAGGAATCATAAACCTCCAGTAAGCTTTAGTTGTCAATTGTCATATGTCACAATTTCAAAGTAAAGCTATGTAAATAAAAAACCAGCAGCAAAAGCAAGTTCATAAACTGACCTAATGTGTGCCTCAGAGCTAATTGAATGCAACGACATTATTGAGCCACAGCCTCCAAATTTATCATTTGCACAGCCATAATATACTTCCTTTAAACAGAAAAAGGGAGAGAGTCATCTAATCATAAATAAACAAATTTTAGGAAAGTTCAGTTTTATTTCAGTAGGATCAACGGATGTACCAATGATCGATAATGCTGCTGCACACATTATGCATGGTTCACATGTCACATAAAGGGAGCATGCTGAAAACCTCTGCAACTTCTGCAGTCGAAAATCCAGTCCTCTGCCACCGTACAAGAAGAACATCAAGAGCTTCCATCTCCGCATGTTTCATTGCCCATGAAAGCACAAGGGGAAAAACGAAGCAAGCATATCAAACTTAGGAGCTTTGTCATGAGAAATATTTCTCCTTCAAGTTAACTGATTAAGAGTATATATAAGATTGATCAAGGCATATACTACATGAAGTCAACAAGTTTTACTCACTTGAAGTTGCTGAGAATCTCACTAGGAAAAAGAGGCTTCTTATTGGATTAGCCACCTCCACCTTTTTTAACAGTATTTTTTTAATATACCCCTGTAGCAAGGTGCCATTGTTTTTTATTAATCTCCACAAGATACTAAAAGGGCCAAATATTTTTCACATCAACTATTCATTGCTATCCATAAAATCATTTATAGTAATGTATTGTCACCTCATGACTATAAATGATTACAGAAATAGACTATTAGGGGTTGGTTTAGTAAAATTTCTGTTCCTAAAAACAATTTCTATTCAGAAATAGTTTTTTTCTATTTCTATTCCCTAGACGAGTTTCTGGGCAAAAAAACGAGTTTAGGGTGCGCATGACAACCATTCTGTGCCCGAGAACTATTTCTACTCAGAAATGATTCTTTTTGATTCTGTGCCCGGAAACAATTTCTGAGCATTTGAAGGCGTTTGGTAACTGTCCAAAATTTCTATTCCTGGAATAGAAAAGAACAGAAATGCGTTTGGTAACTACACAAAATTTCTTTTTATTAATAATATTTTAATAATATTTTGAATTGTTTAATAATTTTTTTTTCTTTCTACCCATTCTCTTCCTTGGCCATGGCCGGTCGCCAGCGACTGGCCACAGGCCAGGGCATCGCGGCCCTGGCCGCCAGCCTTGCCTCCGGCCTTGCCCAGATCGGGTGAGGGTCGCGACGGCGAGGCTCGGCCTCACCCAGTCTGGGTGAGGCCGAGCCTTGCCGTCGCGACCCACGGCGAAGCCGACCTCGCCGTGGGTCGCGACGGCGAGCCGCCTCGCCTAGACGGCTAGGGTCCAGCCCTCGCCCGTGCCGGCAAGGGGGACCCTCACCTCCGCCGGCGGCCGGCAAGGGCCGTGACTCCCTCGACGGCCCTAGGCTGTGGCCGGTTGCCGGCCGCAACCCAAGAAGAGCAACACAAAACGAAGAAAACAAAAAAAAGAAAAAGAAGAAAAAAAAACTGATTCTCAAAATTGTGCCGAGAAACAAGAAGCAACTTTTTTTTACTTCTTGTTTCTCTTCCAAAACTGTTTCTGGGCACAATTTTTGCAAAAATATGCCCGGAAACAAAAAGTTTACCAAACGCATTTCTGTTCCCAAACTATTTCTAGAACAAAAGAACAGAAATTTTCACTGTTTGGCACGTTACCAAACAGGCCCTTAGTAACTGTACAAAATTTCTATTCCCGGAATAAAAAAAGAACAGAAATGCGTTTGGTAGGACACTAAATATTTTTACTCCCAATTTTTTTCATTTAATTATGAAATTGTTGGTGGAGACTTAACAATTCATGTTTGGATAAAATTGGACTAGAAATAGAATAAGAATATATTATGATATAGAATTGGATGACCTTAATACAATCATAAAGAAAATCACTCATTATAGACAAATCAAATATCGGGAGGTGGTCAAGGAAATTGCTGTTTAAGGGACTTAACAATTCATGTTTGGATCAAATTGGACTAGAAATAGAACAATAATATATTATGATATAGAATTGGATAACCTTAATACAATCATAAAGAAAATTACTCATTATAGACAAATCAAATATCGGGTGGTCATCGAGGAAATTGTAGTTGAGGGTGTAGGATTTTAGGATTTGGGGTTAGGGGTTAAGGTTTTAGGATTTCGGTTTTGAGGTTTAGGGTTTGGGGTTCTGGGTTTTAGATTTTGGATTTTATGGTTTAGGGTTTGGGGTTTATGTTTTAGAGTTTAGGGTTTGGAGTTTTAGGTTTAGCGTTTCGGGTTCTAGGGTTTGGGTTTAGGATTTGGGATTTAGTGGTTTAGGATTTATGGTTTTAGGGATTCGGGTTTTGGGTATTGGGGTTTGGGATTTAGGGTTTACAGTTTAGTGTTTGGGGTTTAAGGTTTAGGGTTCCGGGTTTTGCAGTTCAACATTTTAGGATTTAAGATTTGGAATTACGATTTTAGGGTTTAGGTTTTAGGGTTTTAGGTTTGGAGTTTCAGGGTTTAGTATTTCGGGTTTTGGGTTTGGGATTTTAGGGTTTAGGTTTTTGGGTTTAGGATTTGGGGTTTAGAAGGTTTAGGGTTTGGGTTTAGGATTTTAGAGATTTGGGTTTTGTGGTTTGGGGTGAGTTTAGGGTTTCGGGTTTTTCATTTTAGTGTTATGGGTTTTAGGGTTTAGGTATTGAGGTTTAAGGTTTTAGGGTTTTTGTCACGCCCCGAACCCCAACGGGCTCGCGACACCCCTCGATGGTCAATCATTGAACGCGACGTCCCAGGACGCGTCGCCAACCCAAACGAAACACCCAACGATAAAGGCAAGCGGAAGCGAAATTAAAACAACCCAGACAATAAAATATGACAAAGGGATAGCACAAAACAATAATTCCAAATACACAACATCAAAAGGGAATAGTGGTGGGGTATCCTACTTCGCTATACAAAAGAGGGGCACACAAAATATGGGGTAACTTGACCCGTCCTCCATCCCCGAGATACCCCGGTGTCGTCTCCAATCAATCACGATCGCGAGATCTGAAAATGGTTATATAATAACCGTGAGAACGAGTCTCAATAAGCAACCCCTATACCCCACATAAAGCCAATGCGTACCCTGCACAAGTCGTACATGCAATCTACCCAATTACATATATATAATTCACATAAATGGACTTACCTCGCCATCCAACCACATGCCCACACTGCACATTAGTCAAATCATAATAATGCAATAATAGTCAATGACACATCAAAATCATTTGAGCGCCATACACACGTACGTTCATCCAATTCAACCCAAACACATTTCACATGCGCATCCATCCAACTTTCACACGACCCGGGTCAACACCCCATAGGTCAGCCCTCCGATCAATCCGGGCTCTGTCCTGGGTCAACACCCCACAGGACCTTTCAAAAACAAGCTTTCACATGACCCGGTCAACACCCCACAGTCGCCCCCCCGATCAATCCGGGCTCGTCCCGGTCAACACCCTACAGGACCTTTCTTACTTTCACACGACCCGGGTCAACACCCCACAGGTCAGCCCTCCGATCAATCCGGGCTCTGTCCCGGGTCAACACCCCACAGGACCTTTCTTACTTTCACACGACCCGGTCAACACCCCCATGGTCGCCCTCCGATCAATCCGGCTCTGTCCCGGTCAACACCCCACTGTGACCTTTCTTACTTTCACACGACCCGGCAACACCCCCACGGTGCCGGCCCTCCGATCAATCAGGCTCGTCCCGGTCAACACCCCACAGGACCTTTCTTACTTTCACACGACCCGGGTCAACACCCCACAGGTCCTTTCTTACTTTCACACGACCCGGGTCAACACCCCACAGGTCAGCCCTCCGATCAATCCGGGCTCTGTCCCGGGTCAACACCCCACAGGACCTTTCTTACTTTCACACGACCCGGGTCAACACCCCACAGGTCAGCCCTCCGATCAATCCGGGCTCTGTCCCGGGTCAACACCCCACAGGACCTTTCTTACTTTCACACGACCCGGTCAACACCCCATGTGTCAGCCCTCCGATCAATCCGGGCTCCGTCCCGGTCAACACCCCACAGGACCTTTCTTACTTTCACACGACCGGGTCAACACCCCACAGTCCTTTCTCACAACCCGGTCAATACTCCTCGGGTTAGCGCCACCTCCGATCGATCCGGGCTTTTCTCATGCACATGCACCATAATACAAAATTCACCATGCTCTTAGTCATATAAATCAATTTCAATCACCACCCTTTCACTAATGTCAATCTCGCACGCCACATCAGTCAACTCAATTCATGCTCCCCACATCGGTCCACTGACCCGACATTCATGTCGGCACATTCAATTAATCCAATTCACCCACAAGCGCCACGACAATTCAGTCAGGCATATTTATCTCAGTCAATCACTAAATTAGCCGCACAATTATCGCCACAATAATTCACCAATTAAGCACAATCAGTCTAATTAGCCCACGCCTAATTAAAGTCCTAAGCCGGTACTAAACACATCCTAAACAAGTCTAAAAATACCCAAAGTACTAGGTAGGGTTTAGGAAGTTACTTACTTGGTTTTGGCCCGGAGAAAATCGGCTCGGGCCTAAAATGGCCCGGGTGAACAGTGCCGAACTAGGCGCGGTGCGCCGGCCAACGCGGCACAATGGCCGGACGGCGCGCACTGCGCGGGCGCGGATGGCCGAACGGCATGCCCGGGCGCACGGCAAGTTGAACGGGCGAGGTGCCCGGGCTGAACGGGCAAGGCGCCGGCCACGGCCGGGCGACGCGCCTGGTTGGATCGGGTGACGCGCCCGGGTCTGACGGGCACGGCAAGCCCGGCAAGCTCGGCCACGGGCCGGGGACGCTGACCGGCGAGCTCGAGCACGGCTGGTCACGCTCGGCCGGGCGACCGCCCGGGTTTGGTGGCTGGGCCGGCAAGTTCGGGCCGGCCGGACGATACAAGTACGGACGGCGACGGAGGCGAGCTACGGGGCGGCAGGCGCAGCTGGCCTGCTGGGCGAGCTGGGCAGCCTGGGCTGGCCAGCTGGTAGCTAAACTGGCTTAGCGAAATGTACCGCCAGCTGACCGTGCCTAACGGCTGGCCGGTTTCGAGGCGACACGACGGCGGCAACGGAGACCGTAGGGGAGAGGAAGAAAGCAAGGTGGGCAAGTGGGTGGCGAGAGAGGGCGAGCCGGGGGTCGAGGGGGTCGAACCGGCGGGCGGCGACAACGACACTCGTCAAGGCCGGGGCGGAGCTGGGGAGCCGGCTGGACGACTGGACGGCGGCTGGGACTCGCCGAACGCGGCGGCAAGCGGCGGCGAGCCGAGCTCGCGCGCTCGGGAGGGGAGGAAGGCAGCGTCGGGCGGAGCTGCCGGGCGGCACGGCGGCTCGGCGACAGCGAGAGGAGGAGGGCAGCGCGACGGCGGCGGCGTGGGGCGGCGTCGGGAGCGGAGGCGAAGAGGCGGTCGAGCGGCGGGGCTGCGGAGGCGAGGGAGGCTGCGGAGGTGGACGGGAGTCGGGAGAGAGGGGAGCGACCGAGGCGGCGACGGGGCGGCCGAAGCCCAGGGGCTGGCTGGCGGTTGGCGGCGCGGCGCGGCTTCGGTCGGGCGACGGCGGCGCGAGGCGGTCGCGAGGTGCGGTCGGGCGGAGGAAGAAGCGAGAAGCGAAGCAAGGGTCGGGGGCAGAAGAGACGAAGAAGAAGAAGAGGAAGGGAAGAGGGAGAAAAGAAAAAGAAAAAGAAAAGAAAAGAGGAGAGAGAAGGAGGAGACGTGAGCGGGAAAAGAAGGGAGAGGGACGTCTGCATGCATGGGCAGACATGCGCAGG